CGGTCCCGAGATTACCGGGTGTAACCGACGGTCCCGAGATTACCGGGTGTAACCGTCGCGAGATTAGCGGGACTACCACCCATAAGTAGAGGACCTCACTCCACGATCAGGTATGATGATTTCTGACCTCGAACTAAACTAGGAATCCGACCTGTACTGACTTGATCGTCGGAGTGCTCACCTTTTTGTGCAGGTCCGCCCAAGTATCCAGAACGGTCCGGAGGACGAGTTCGAGCTGCAATCTGAAATACACTGTTGTGCATATCCTTGCATAAACACATATATATATTTCAAAAATTATGAAATAAATTGCAAATACTTAACTTTAAAAGGTGTGTCTCATTTTTACAATTTAAATTGGTGCGAATACGACATCATAATTTGGAAAATAAAATTATAAAATCGCCATAATGATCAAATTGAGGAATTAAGAAAATAAAGAATATACTACTTTAAAACACCTTCAAAAAAAAAATTATACTACTTTGAGTCGTTTATACCTCCAAAGGCCCAATAAGGCCGAGATAGCCCATTTTCGGTACTGGGCCTCTAATGGCCCAATAAGACCAAAAAGAACACGCCCGAAGCTGAGCTTCGGCCGATCGCTGCGGTGCTTGGGTCTGTGATCACTGTTCAGTAATGTAAAAACCGAGAGTCTGGTGAAAGAGAGGGAAATGGCGGGACTGAGAAGACTGGCGCAATTGAAACCGATAGCCGTAGAAGCGGCGGCCGGAACAGTTTTCGCCGCGAAGTTCCTGTGCGGCCTTCATGTCGCCAACACTTACGTCTGCACCGCCGCTCTCGTAAGTTGAAACTCTCGTCTCTGAAATCCATGTACATTTTTGAGGGCTCGGTTGACCGTCCTGTTCCTGTATGTGTAGACCTACGGTCCCAGCATGCTCCCTACTCTGAATCTAACCGGCGATTTCATTTTGGCCGAGCGAGTCTCCACTCGCTTTGGCAGAGTCGGCGTCGGAGACATTGTCCTCGTGAGGTCCCCTGAGAACCCTCGGAAAGTGATGGCGAAGCGCTTGATGGGCATGGAGGGCGACTCTGTTACCTATGTTGTGGATCCGAAGAACAGTGATAGGTGCGAAACTGTTGTGGTATGGCTGCTTAGAATTGCTCTTCCGTGCTTAATTTAAAAAAAAAAATTGCGTGTTTTTTAATTGTTGTGCTAAGAATTGTGCCCTACATTTGGCTACTGTAATTTCAATTTCATTCTCATATTGCTTTAGAATGTGAATGTGTGTGTAGGTTCCCAAGGGCCATGTTTGGATAGAGGGAGATAATATTTATGATTCAAATGATTCAAGACGTTTTGGGGCTGTCCCATATGGTCTTCTGCAAGGGAAAATATTCTGGAGGGTGAGTAAGATTGATTTCCTTCTTCCCTCATTTGGTTTTTTCTTTAAGAAGGATAAATGTTCTATTTCCTTTTCATCCAGCAAAGTGGTCGTTGGTCCAGTAATAATATTCAATTTGTATGGTTCTTGGTTCTGTTTGCATTAGTTTATGAGGTGATAATGAAGTTGAAAGTGTAGAATGTAGTATCTTGGATAAGGAATTTAAGATAATGGTGAGTAATAACTTTATCATTATTCATCTATATCTTGTTTACCATGGTAGATATTCTCTCAACTGGTTGGTTACAACTTAGGCTTGTTTGGGAAACTGCTGGCAACAATTTTCTGCTTTTAGAAACTTTGATAGAATGGCTTGTAAAAGTTAAAATTATTCACTTGAAATCTGTATTCGCAGATCAATAATTTTGCAAAAAAACAATTTGTTTTGCAGTAACTTGTGAAAAAAAAAAACTAAAAAGAATAAGAGAAAACTAGTACTTAAAAGGGCCAGAGACTAAAAATTGCTGTAACTCATACCAAATAGTCATAGATGAAGCCCTACATCTAGGTGAAATTATGAAAGAAAACTTAGTTTTGTGTATTTACTAATCGCACTTTTATGGATTTATGATTTAAAATTTGTAAGTTACAACTTGAGCTAAGTATTCTCTGTTCATTTTAGATTTTGGTATCTGATTTTGGTTGTAGTTTGTAAGTATGTAATTGCTTTTTTTGGTCTTAAAATAGCTTATAATATCTTTCTTCTGTGTAGATATGGCCACCTAAAAGTTTTGGACCGTTGGAGAAGAGAAAATCGAATGAGACTGTTTTGTGAGGTAAGCTCAAGTATTTATTAGGTAGAAATTCAACCTTTTGGTCCATGGATGCCTTCATGTCAGTATGTCACTTGTTATATTTTTCATTGTCATTTGGGAATTATTTATTATGATTTATTTGATGACATTCTCATTTTGTGCTTCTTTTTAATTCTATTATTTGAACAGTTTCTGATTGAAAAGAATCACTTTTGAACATTTGGTTATATGGACACTAGTTAGGTTATTGTTTTTTAGAAATATTTCTAATTCATTGAATTCTCGACAGATAATGACCTTAATTGAACAAGATCTATTCTATTGGTTGTACATTTTTGTCATTGAGCTCTAATGACTTATGGACAGAGAAAGTATGGTTTCCTCTTTTTATCTAGTTTCTAATTTTGCAAAAAGTTAACAAGCTATCCCTTTTTTCTTTTTAATATTGTATATGAGTCTTGTAGTACACATGAACATCATGTAAAATGAGAACCATGAAAATTCTTAATGAAACTTCTGTAAAATATATTTTTTTCTCTTTTAAGGGTAATAAAAGCATTAGATATAGCGAAAGTGTCAACAAAGAAGACTTGGTAACCAAATGTAATTATTTTTATTTTTATTTTTAAAATTTTGATTAGTTGTTGTAACTTGTAAGCCAAAGGTTTTTATTTCCCAGTGAGGCACACGATGATAACCAAGCAAGTGAAAAGAGAAAAATGGAGATTGTTTGTTTTGTTCTGGTGTTGGATATGAACACATGAAGAAAATTTCACAAATTCAATTTCGAAAACTTTTTGTCTATTTTTGATCTTCAGAAGCTATTTCTTTATCGTTGTCGTTGTATTCATCGATATTGCTTCATCTCTAGATGTAGGTGTTGTATTCATCAATATTGCTTCACCTCTAGATGTAGGTGATTTACGAAGACGTATCGGTATTCTTCATCTTGTTATGAATCTTCATTAGTTCATTCCAGAATTCTTTCTGTATTTCTCATTATCTATTGAAGCCTTGCTGATTGAATGTTCCTGTTCTCTTCCTCCATCACAACTCATCTCTCAAACATTTTCCAATCTCATGTTAAACTATGAACGACAATCAAACAGAGTCATTGAGAAGGGATCCATAGCGTATGTAACATGTTCTCCATTTTGTTGTAAGAGGATGTCCGTTTTTTTAATCGACAACGTTGTAATCTTCCTTGGTCTAGTATGATCTTTGTTATTGTTTCCTTGCCAAAATATATGTGTAGAAGTACGATCTCTTTTTGTTAAACTTGAACAGGAGTTTGGATGAGGATCAGATGAGATTTTTGTCCTCCAAACTACATGGAATAAAGGAAAAGTTTCCCATCCTCAAACAAATTCTATTTCTTAAACTCTATTAATTTTTGTTTTAATCGTAATTGTAAAACCATGTAGAGTTTAATATAGGAGGCCTGCCCATAGAAAACTGCAGTATACAATGGGAAAGATTCTTCCTTGTAAAACTGAGAGAATAAAAACGGAAAGAGAGAGAATGAAGGAAGTTACAGAGTCAATTAATTAGAAAAAAGTTAAAACTTTAGTTTTTTTAATATATAATTTCCATCAATTTCTAAAAGTTTTAATTGTATATAAAAAATAATAATAATAAATTTAAGCAACTCGCGCAGAGGATTTTTGTTTTTTTTTTTTAATTGAGGGAAATCAAATTGATTGAACACAAATATTATGATTGCTTCGCAGTAAATTTAAAATGTTCAATATTATGTAGGTTACATGATAAATATTTAAAACAATTATAGTCATGAGGAAATTAATTGTAACAATGTGCATTACAATGGTAGATTGTTATTTGAAAATATTAACACTTGAATTTAGTGATTAAAGCCACAATTATTAACAGTTTCGTTTTTACTTTCATTTTTAAAAAATCAAACTTCCTTAGCAAATTTTTTGTTTCCTAATCTATTTTTGAAAAAGTATTTTCAAAATTCTAGCTAAAAAATAGTAGTTCTAAAACATCTTTGGAAAAATTTTTCCTTATCCTAAATCAAGATTTATCTTTAAAATTTTAGTTTCACTTAATTGAACTCTAGACTATTATTTGAGAAAAATAATATACTCTCAACTTGGCTAAGTAATGAAATTAAATTAATACCCTCCATTATTTTATAAATAGTTTTAATTATGACTAGTTTACTGGGCATTTTAATGTTGAACGAGCCTATTTTTTGTATTGATTTTTCTAGCTGCGTTGGACCTTATTTATTATTATTATTATTATTATTATTTAAGGTCTGAACATTCTAGCAGTTGGAGTTTAGTTTAAGTACTTTTTTTTTTATCTGTTTGATTTTTCATAATGAGCATATAAATATGTACATAAAACTTCAATTCTACAAAATAGACAATAAATTATTAATAATAAAATTTGACAATATGAAATGCCAACTAAAGAAAGACTCATAATAAAAACGGGATTTAGAAAATTAGAGAGAGTGTAGTGTATGAAGTGGACAACTCAGAGTCATTAAATGTCTAACGTTGTTACAACACAAACTTAGTCCCACAAAGCTCTACTCGACCTACTATATATATCAATCAAAATTCAATAACAAAAACAAAAGAGACCATCGCAATTCAAGCAAAAATATCAAAAGAAAACCAACATTTCAGCCTCATCCCTTCCACTCTCTCCACCCCTAAGAACGCTTCCATGGAGGGCAAGAAGCAAACAAAGGGCCGACAAAAGATCGAAATGAAGAAGATAGAAAACGAGGACGATCGACTGATAACGTTCTCGAAGCGCAGGTCAGGCATCTACAAGAAGGCGAGCGAACTAGCAACACTATGCGGGGCTGAAGTCGGTGTCGTCGTATTCTCACCCGCGGGTAAGCCCTTCTCGTTTGCTCATCCCTCGATCGAATCCGTGGCCAACAAGTTCATCAACGAAACGCCGCAGCCCAACGACAACACTCACCCTCTCGTGGAAGCTCACAGGCGGGTGAGGATAAACGAGTTGAACCAACAACACAATCAACTTTTGAGCCAACTCGAGGCAGAGAAGGAAAAAGGGAAGGCACTAGAGAAAATGAAGAAGGTGAGAGGAAATAGTAATGGGCGTGGTTGGTGGGAGACTCCCACAGAGGAAATGGGGATGGAAGAGCTTCAACAAGTGGATGCTTCATTAGGAGATTTGTACACAAATGTATGCCATCAATTGAGAGAGAGAGGAGTCATTGGATCTTCTTCTTCTTCTTATTCTTCCATGCCCTTTAATGGAGCTGGTGAAGAAACTATTCCCTTTAACATTTTGGCAAATGGGCCTCCACCTCCTACTAATGCTTATCTCCCCCATGCCTTTGATTATGGACAAGATCAACTTCCATGAACAAACATGTTCTCGAGGCATCGGGAATGGGAGTGATTTCACTTTCGTCGTTTTCTAAAAGTCAYTGCTATTATTTCATCGTCAAATRGGTGTATGTTCGGGAGTGATTTTAGTAGRATCAAAATCACTTTCATTTGAAACAATATTGGAGGATGACAAAAGCACTCCCAAACATGCTCTTTATCTGGTTTTTGTAATGTTTCTTCATTTCGTATTTTCTTTTGTCGAGGTTGTTCTTATCAGTCAAACGGGGTCTTTTGTTTCGTGTTTCCTTAAAAAGTCAAATGAGGGGATCAAACTTAGTCTCTAGTTCTTTTGATGTTTGTGTTTTTCCTTTAATTTGGTGGGGATGTGACTGCGAGGTTATGTCTAGGGTTTTTTTTATGGTTAAGGAATGTATGTGTATGCACCTACCAACATAAGCGAGTTTTTGTGTGTGTTTTTCCAAATTTGACTTAAATTAATGAATATTATTCATCGTTGAGATATATTATATTTTGTGCGATAATTATCATAGAGGAAAAGAATATTATCATTTATATTACATTAAATATACATATATATTAATCTCAATTCGATCCTTCTTTTTATTTTTATATTTTTATCATATATAGGTCATGATGAAACTTTTTGCATTTTAGAGACGTTGATATTCTAATTTGTTGTTTTAATTAAGAAATGATGCTATATTAACATATAGAGTTTTATTTTTTCAAAGGAAAGAGATAAATTTGGCCAACTTGACTAAGTTTTTTACTTCTTTATTCTTACTTCAAAATTTTTAAGAAGAGTCATAGGAAAATCTATTATTTTGTTAACTTGTTTTGAATAATTTTCTTTGTTGAGCCAATTTTTTTTGTAACTATACAATAAGTACATTATTCCAACATATAAAATATCCATATAAAATTAGTTTAAAAAAATAAGAAAGAAAAAAAAACTAAGTACATTAAGTCACATTGCTAGAGTTCGAATTGAGGGCATCATATATATAAACTATAGTAATTTCAAATTTTTAAATAAAATTGTTTAAAAAAATAGGCAACAACCCATCATGAAATGAGACCTTACTAATGATGTTTATATTTTTTTTTCTTGAAAATATTTTTATATCTTTGAAATTTCAAAATCAATAAATAAACATATATATTTTGAAATTTAAGTAAGATTTCGAAAAACATTCTAATAAAATGAAATACATTTATCACAAAGGGACTATAGCAAAGAAACTAAGTATTTCTTAATCAAGTCACTTTTGAGTCTCATATTTATATTTGATTATTTGATTAGAGAAAATCTACTTTTTAAGAGGAAATATCTTATAAAAAAAGAAACATGTGTTATCATCGATATAGAGGAATTCCTTACTCTTTTGAGTTGTCACAACGAACTACATCATGTTTTGAATGCCCAAAATAGAAAGAACATGACGAAGACAAATTCATAAATAAACCAAATCTTATTATGTCAATCACTAATTCCGATGTAATTTATACATTTATGATCAACAACATAAATTTAAAATATAATATAAATTTGTCTTTTTATATAAAAGATAAATTTGTTATTGTTTTTTCTTATATATATAACTTTCATATTATTTACAAAAAGATGTATTATTTTGAACAAATATATCAACTTTTCGTGTCTACTATTGGACAAAGAAACCCAACAAAATTATTCTTTTTCACAAAGGAAAAAGGAAAAAAAAAAAGGGTTTTCTGCAGTGTCAGTCATTTTGATGCTTCAAATTAATGTGTGCTGTCCTTAATAATAAATTTTTACAGAACCCAATTAAGGAAGTCAAAAATTCCAGCAAGGCAACCTTAAATTTGTGTTTTGTTTATCCCTTCATGCACATATTATTATCCATATAATTTGAATTTAGCTCAAACAAACAGAGTCCATGCAGCTGTTACAAAGTGGAGATACAGATGGAGTGAGTTGAAATTTGAATTTGAAGCAAAAAGGGAGCGTTTCATGGTACTTACAAGAAGACAAATAAACTGAAATTATTGCTTCAGTTAACTCTGTTTGTTGTTTTGTTAATTAGCAATTTGAGCATTTCCAAAACCAGGGTCAAAACAACCATTTTCAACTTCAACCTCAACCCCAACCCCGACTTTCATGGGAAAATGTAGGGGTGTAATCAGTTCGGGTCAAACTGACCCGACCCAAAATCGTTCGGGTCAAATTCAATCCGAACCGAACTCGTTTGGGTCAAGCAATAATAATAATAATTGTTGCTGTGAAAATCTAGCTTGTCTACGTGTTCTTCGATTGAGGATTGTCGAACAAACTAAACTTACAACGACGAATCTCAACACTAGTGTGATGCTCTGGCTAATGTATGTCAATGATGAAGTTAGTAATCGTAAGAGATGAGAAAAACGGTAAGCACCTTAATATTTAGTGATTATTTTTTCACTTACCATGTAGTCATAGTATCTCATCTCTTTTATAGGTGTTGGAACCGACTAGAGAGGATGCTTGACGCGAGACGTGGTGGGGCCGTTTGTGTACGAGCTCTAATGGGCTATTGATGGACGTTCCTAGCGCGTGGTGGCATCCCCGTTGCGCATCACCCTAACCCACTCCAGATGCCTTGCAATAGGGTGTGTCGCATACTAGACTGTACGCTTCTGCCAGTATTATCATCGCTCCCTTTGTTGATCGTATGTCCGTAGGAATTGGCCACCACGACTATATTTCCTACTCAATTTTCACCCTCAACGATACTATTATATTGCTAGAAGTTTTAACATTTAAATGAGAAGGTAGTAAAAAAAATTCTGTATTAAACGTAGTTATTTTTGTTAATTAAGGTGTTAAAATTTATGTAATGAATTCACCAAGTCTAAAAATCTTATAAATATCCCTCTTACTCATTCTAAAAAATATAATCTATAGAATATATTTTCTATCTTCTATATATTTTCTATTTCAAATGTAATTGACTACAAAAAGTATTGTTGTATAGTGTTTTAAGCTCAATTTCTGTTAAAACGGACGTAGTTCAACGGTATTTAACATATATCTCAAATTAAGAGATTGCGATTTTGATCACCGTCCAATGTATTGTAATAAAAAAATACAATTTATTAATGCAGAAAAATAAAGTAATAAAGCATTAGATATAATATCTTTCTAGTTTCTCTTAAAAAACTCGTGATCTTTTAAGGAAATTATTATTTTACTCCAAGCCTGCTTGTATCTAGATTTTATTAATTGTTATCTTTCATTCTTCTAAAAACTTCTATTAAGTATAATAAAGTAAAAAAAAAATGAAATAAATGTTTTTAGGGTTGATATATTGGAATCGAAAACTTTCCTTTATCCCACATATATTATATTACATACAAAAAGAGATGTTAAAAAAAAACTCGACAATCCAACGAACCTGACGAACCATAAGGATTGGATTGGGTTAGATAAAGTCTTGGGTTGGATTGGGTTGTGATTTTCCCAACTCGATCGGGTTGGATTGGGTCCCGGTTCAACCTTAAAATAATCGGGTCAACCCAATCCAACCCGAATTTATGCATATATGTGTATTTTTCTTAATTATATATATAATAATATATTTATCTTTAATGTTATCGTCCATTTAATGTTAATCATCGTCCATCATTTAAGGTTTTCATATTTATATGCTTCCATTTTTTTTATATTAATTTCAACTGTTCATTAAGTTTTAATTCTAACTCCCCGTCGCCGCCGTGATAATAAAAAATTAAAAAAAAAAACACAAATCAACAACCCAACCCGAAAATATTGGGTTGGGTTGGATTGAGTTGACCATCCAATTTAAACCCGACGATTTCTATATATGGTCAATCCGAAAATTCTGATGGGTCCTAAAATCCCTCCTACCCCGACCCACCCTTTAAACACCCCTACATACATATGTACATTATACCTTGAAAATTGTAACAAAAGAAAAAAGAAAAAAAAGAAAGAGAAAAGAAAAAGAATGTAAATGGAATAACATATATAAAACAAGCAGTCACAATTTTCGAAATTCCGCTCCACTTTCCTTTTTGAACTTTTGCGGAAATCCAGTGAATGCATAACACGTGTATGGAATTTTACATAATTTTTTTTTATATTTTCTCTGCTTTTCTTATTTTCAGTGTGCCTTTTGAAACAAAGATCATATTCTCTTCTATTTATACTAATTTCCAATTAATGTGAATTTTAAAGTGTGTTATTCAAGTATTTATTTAAAAAGAAAAAAGAAAGTAATGCTTGCCATTTTGTCTTGAAATAAAAGATACACAAGTGTTATAAAACTAACAACAAGAAGAAGAGATAGAAGAGGAAGAAGGGAGAAAAGAGATTTCTTTATTGAGTTGCGTGAGATCATATTTACAAAACCCCATATAACCATTATAAATTATAAGGCTACAATAATAACATGTGTTTACAACCTCGTCAAACCACCAATCTTGATATACATAGGTTACAAAATCTACCATAATTGAGATGTGATACTCATAAGAACAACGAGAGTTCATAATCTATAGATGATTATGAACATCTACATTATTACCATATATATTTATAATAAAAAGATTATAGTTATATGAATAAAAGGAATAATTTAATTTATAAAGGATGTTTAAACTAGGGGTATAAATGGTAGGCCAAAAAACCGACCGGATCAATCGAAACTGGCTAAAGTGATGTTGGTCGACGGTCAGTTTGGAAATTTCCAAAACTTTAGGTTGGCGGTCAGCCAGGGTAAACAACTAGAGCTCAGCTCATGGTATTTTTGGAATCGAATATTTGGAAAAGTTTTATCTTTTTGTAAACATTATCTTTTTAGAATATTTATGAATTTGTCGCCATTTCCTTTCAGTTTAGGCATCTAAAGCCGGTAACTAAGGTTCGAATGGTTCCTTTTGTTTTCCTACCGTGAGAACTGCTTTTGAATTATGTGATACAAACTGCGAAAATTTTTCAAATAATACTTTTATAGCTTTTAATATTTTCATATTCTAAATTCGAAACTTTTAGATGCAAAATTATATTAAAAAGGATAAAAATTTGGATAAATATATTATTTTATGTTATAAATTCATTTTATTTTTATTAAAATTAAAATATGTAAAAGATAATATATTATAAATTATATAATATTGTTAAAATAATAATTATACAAATTTTATAACATATATATTAATTAATTAATTAATAATATTTTAAATTTAAATAAACATTTAATTGGTAATTATCTCTACTTTTCAAATATATTACTAAACATATGTCCAACAATTTTTAAATTGTGATTCAATTTCTAAATATGTTATAAAACACATGTTAAAAAAATATTGAAAACATAAAATATAATTACGATTTTCATTGAATTCGTTGCTTTTAGATTCCTGTTTTCATATCTAAATTCACCCTAACTTATTAC